ACCACACGGACTAACCGTACAGGCTCTGATGAGTAGCACGCTGCAAATTGGCTCATCTCTTGCAGCCTCCTTAGCGTGTGCATTATAATCAGGGAGCCAGCAGAGGGCACGGAGAGAGATGTCACCACAGTGCAGGGACAGATATGGCTCATTCAAACAGGGCAACCATCTTCCCAGCGAGACCCCAGTCCTCTTGGGCTTTGCCAGCTATAGGACATTGGTTTGGTCCTGTAGCTCCCTTCCCAGCCTCTGCTGGCCTCATCAGTCCTAGTGCACCCACCCCATGTCCCACTCTGCAAAGTGCCCGGACACCTATGGACACAGGGGAAAAGGAGCCAGTAATGCCCAGCCATAGAATCATACAATCATAGAATAGGTTGGGTTGGAAAGAACCTTAAGATCATCTAGTTCCACCCCCCTGCCATGGGCAGGGACACCACACACTAGACCATGTCCTCAGTTTTGGGGGAGCAGGGAGCTTGGGCAGTGGGATCGCAGTGCTGCTATGACCTCCATGCCCACCGCCGCGAAGGCAGTCTTGGTGCTTGGATCTCCATTGTTTGGCTTCACCATGTGCCCTGACATGCGAAGGCAAACACTGCCACGTGGCCAGGGTGTCCCTCCTCACTCCCCACTGTCTGCAGGGATTAACGATGCCTCCGGAGCCAAGTCCGATGATCCAAGCTCTGCCCGACCTGAGGGCAGCCATGCGGGAGTACTACAAGAACACCATGTACCCCGCTGCCTACAGTCCTGGGAATTTCACATCCAAAGGTACTGCCAAGGTCCCAGCCGTGCCCCAGAGTCACACAGGGCACATCCCCATGGGGTCGGGGGGATGAAGGTGCACACATCATCTGTTCACCCCCCCCTTTTAGATCTCTCACCCCCTTCTGGAGTGGTAAAAGGACCCTCGCTCAGCATCTGCACTTGTGGCTTTGTCGCAGCCACCTGTCCCCATCTCTACACTGAGACTGTCCCTGTCCCAGCCATGTCCACAAGTCCCCATGGTTCCCTGCCCCAGTGGCCCCTAAATACCCCCTGGTGGTAGGTGCTGCCTGGTGGGACCCCCTCTTGGTATGCCACAACCCCTGGGGAAAAAGGCTGTCCCCAGCACCACAGGACACTGCTCCCAGTCACTTTTGCATTGCAGAAAAGTACAAGCCAGTTTTTGTCAATGAGAACAAATACATGTCCTGGAGAACAAGTCCAAGCACTACAGTCTGGAATAGGGGATCTTCTTACCTCCCTCTCCTGCCCAAGGTAGAGTCCACTCCTCCCAAATCCCCCAAACTGGAGACACCTCAGGTCTGCTGGACCTCCGCCTCTGCAGCAAAAGGGTGGCAATCCTCATAGGGCTGTCACTGCTCCTTGCAGGAAACAAGGATGAACACATTGCTGTACAGCATACCTGTAATGTGCCCCCTGAGACCCATGTGCCTCAATCAGTATGGTAAGGACCCTCGCCCTGTGCCTGTACTCTGCCTGTAGCGTGTGCCATCCGGCTGACAGGCTGGCTGCTCCCTCTGACATTAACCTTCCCTCACCATCCCTGTGCTTCAGAGAAGATGGTGATTGCTGACATGATGCATAGAGTTCCAGTGTACAGTGTGACAGGGAGGATACCCTTCCAGAGCTACTACGTCCCCTGCTCTGGGCGACACTGCTGCCTGCGAGGGATTGACTACATACTAGAGGCGAGGGCTGTAAGGTTGGGATGGCTTTGCTTGGAACGGGATGGGACGGGATGGCTTGGGGTGGTATGGCTTTGCTTGGAATGGGATGGGATGGCTTGGGATGAGGTATGTTACTAATTAAGGGGGCTGGAGCACCTCCCATATGAAG